ATCTGGACATGAGTAAAATCAATCTGGACAAAATAAAAATCAATCTGTACATGAATGAAAATCATTCTGACAAGAATAATAATCAATCTAAACATGAATAATAGACAACCTGGACATAATAATAGTCAACCTGGACATAGTTTTAGTCAACTAAGACATAATAAAAGTTGAAGTAGATAATATATTAAGTGTAGCAGAGCAGAATATATGAGTACTTAAGATTTTCAATTCAAGTCAAGACATAATAGAAGTTAAGCAGTACAAAGCCAATGTCAAGATATAGTAGTATGGCTGTTTCACTCGTGACAAGAAGCTTGTAGGCTAATGTACAGGAAATGGCAAGGGTGCGTCAGAGACTCACTGTGCGCATAAGCCTATTTTGCTGCTGTGGGAACAGGGCCTGAGCGTTTCCCCTCATTTCACTTTACCTGGGTTGAGTTTGAAACAAATTGGAGGCTAGTGGCAGAGGTAGGTGGAAAGTGTGGGGTTTGTTAGCAGCAGCAGGGAGGAAAAAAACAATAACCAAAGATCCTTTTTTTTCTCATTACCATTCGCCATGGCAAATCAACAGCTTCGACGCACACTTGTAAATGGCTCCTACTCTCTTCACGATGAATAAAAAACAAAGAAAACAAAACGGCACAATCTACGGATTTATTGAAAAACGAAATGAAGATAACTGTTTTCTTAAAAAAAGCATGTGCTCAAGATTTATAAAGGAGTAGACCGCCGTTACTGCTGCTTAAAAAAACGCTGGATAAGTGAACAAGGGAAGGAAAAGGTTATTGGTTGTGCTTGAGGTATAGCTTTAGTGGAGATATGCCCATTCAGAATTACTGCTTCTTTGTCATTTTCTCTGTATATACTTGATGCACCATCTTGTACTAATCCAACGTCAAACTTACGTGTGTAATACAACATCGTCCTCTACCTGCACAAACCATTCGTACTTACAATAAGAACAATGCAACAATCTTCTTCTCCATTACTCATACACAATTATATACAACATGACACTGATCCGCCATTGACTTGCAAAATATACAGCCTGACGCATTTATTTTTCACTATCATGTACGCCCATATTACATGATGACGACTATAACGCCGGTCTTTTGTTTTAACACTTGTACGTACAAGCACATCATCATCATATTGACGGTCATCACTTTCTATGCTGTATGTATACACATCAATGCGATGATAATTATATTCTTATGATGCATACACACTACCACAACTATAATATTCCTCTGCAATTCGCTGTACTCGCACACACACGATGGCAACAACGATTACCTTTTTCTTTTTGCATATGCCAACACAAACATTGCCGGTCTTGATGGTTAAGGTAGTTATATATGCTGATGGGTGGTATGTAGTGTTTTATTATTGTTACTGTGATGTTATGGTTGGGATGAAAAAAATAAAAGTAAAAGATCATACATTATGTAGTCATTATGTTTCAGTTGTCTGCATAAACGGGTGTGAGATGGGATTGCATGTTATTACAAGTGCTTCTATAAAAACTATAGATATAGCTCTGAGCGGTGATGATAATATGGCAGGGACAAAGAAGAAAAGGCGTTTGTTGTTATGAAGGAGGAAGTTTCTTTGCTATTACAACAGCAACTTTATTTGTTGTTAATAACAACAACTATGAACAACCGACAAGTTACTACCCTTGACGACTCGCTACGCTCTCTCTCACTCGACTGTACGTGGAGTTCTTGCACTCATTCCTAATGAAATCGTGTGCGTTCCTACTGCTCAATGGCAGATCTTCAAGGATCGCATCTCAGAATTGTGTGGCTACAAATGGGTTCACAAACGCGAGACTGTGTATGGCACCAGACGCTCTGCCACGCAATATCAATAATTACACTAACCATCCTTCACCACGAAACAACATCCTTCGCACCTGTATAACTCTTATAGAACCTTCTTCGTTGTCTTTCTTATATAACGGTCAACATACTTTATTTTCATCCAATCCACAGCAACACAAAAGGAAAGAAACCTGTCAGTTATCCTTCCTGCTATCTACAGCTCATTTTCCATAAAGACCGGCGATATTAACGTTAGTATATGCAAAAGGTAAAAAGTAATCGCGTCAGGCTGTATATTTTGCAAGTCAATGGTGGATCAGCGTCATGTTGTATATAATTGTGTATGAGTAATGGAGAAGAAGATTGTTGCATTGTTCTTATTGTGAGTACGAATGGTTTGTGCAGGTAGAGGACGATGTTGTATTACACACGTAAGTTTGACGTTGGATTAGTACAAGATGGTGCATCAAGTATATACAGAGAAAATGACAAAGAAGCAGTAATTCTGAATGGGCATATCTCCACTAAAGCTATACCTCAAGCACAACCAATAACCTTTTCCTTCCCTTGTTCACTTATCCAGCGTTTTTTTAAGCAGCAGTAACGGCGGTCTACTCCTTTATAAATCTTGAGCACATGCTTTTTTTAAGAAAACAGTTATCTTCATTTCGTTTTTCAATAAATCCGTAGATTGTGCCGTTTTGTTTTCTTTGTTTTTTATTCATCGTGAAGAGAGTAGGAGCCATTTACAAGTGTGCGTCGAAGCTGTTGATTTGCCATGGCGAATGGTAATGAGAAAAAAAAGGATCTTTGGTTGTTGTTTTTTTCCTCCCTGCTGCTGCTAACAAACCCCACACTTTCCACCTACCTCTGCCACCAGCCTCCAATTTGTTTCAAACTCAACCCAGGTAAAGTGAAATGAGGGGAAACGCTCAGGCCCTGTTCCCACAGCAGCAAAATAGGCTTATGCGCACAGTGAGTCTCTGACGCACCCTTGCCATTTCCTGTACATTAGCCTACAAGCTTCTTGTCACGAGTGAAACAGCCATACTACTATATCTTGACATTAGCTTTGTACTGCTTAACTTCTATTATGTCTTGACTTGAATTGAAAATCTTAAGTACTCATATATTCTGCTCTGCTACACTTAATATATTATCTACTTCAACTTTTATTATGTCTTAGTTGACTAAAACTATGTCTAGGTTGACTATTATTATGTCCAGGTTGTCTATTATTCATGTTTAGATTGATTATTATTCTTGTCAGAATGATTTTCATTCATGTACAGATTGATTTTTATTTTGTCCAGATTGATTTTACTCATGTCCAGATCGATTTATATTCATGTCCAGGTCGATGTATATTCATGTCCAGATCATTTTATATTCATGTCCAGATCGATTTTCATTCATGTCCAGCTCGATTTTCATTCATGTCCAGCTCGATTTTCATTCATGTCTAGCTCGATTTTCATTCATGTCCAGCTCGATTTTCAATCATGTCCAGCTCGATTTTCAATCATGTCTAGATCGATTTTCATTCATGTCCAGCTCGATTTTTATTCATGTCCAGATCAATTATTATTCATGTCCAGATTAACTTTCATTCATGTCCACTCAGATTAACATTCATGTCCACTCTGCCTAAAATTAAATCCCTTCTGCCTAAATAAAAGTTCAAACGTCTACTAGGAGATGAAAAATCCTGTAATTGCAATTACTCTGCCAATATTAGCATTAAACATATGCAAATTATGAATCTTTAATCTTAGAGGTTTGCAGACTGAATGGTAAACTTTTTTCTCTGTTATAGAAGCTCTGTGCAACGCTATTATCGTCTGAAGTTGACTAATACTTTAAAGTCTTAGATCTCTTTATAAAATAATGCTAAAATTATGAAACAGATACCAGTATGTAGCTAGTAATCAAGGAAATCTGGCGATATAAGATTTCTCATCTCATAGTAGACATTTGAGCTTTTAATTAGACAGAAGGGATTTAATCTTAGGCAGAGTGAATATAAATATTAGTCTGACTAGATATGAATAAAAGATTAATAGGACATAAATAAAAGATGAAGTTGATGTAATAAAAGACATACTAGACATAATTAATCATCTAACTAGACATAAATGAAAGTCAGTAGAGACTTATATAAAATTTATAGAGAGTGATATGCTAGTCTAATGACCAAGAATATTTATGCGAATAAAGTTTTATCGAAGTCATTACTAACTTTTATTTATGTCTAGTTTGTCTTTTATTTATATCTACTTCATCTTTTATTTATGTCCCCTTTGTCTTCTATTCATGTCTAATCAGACTAATATTTATGTCTACTCTGCCTAAGATTAAATTCCTTCTACCAAATTAAAAGCTCAAATGTCTACTATGAGATGAAAAATCCTATATATACTTTATAATATACATATAATTACTATTATCCTTATTTTACTTGTTCTTCTTCTCTTTCTTATATTTTTACTCTCACTTATCAGCTATTATTAGCATTTTTATTAAATAAAAGGCACGATCTCATATATTAATAGTTACATATAAAAATCAAATTTTGAAAACTTCATATTTTATAGGAAAAAGCTAATATGAAACTAATCTTGATGTACCAAACTTCAAATGCTTCGTTCTCGCTTTCTACTAGACGCTAAATCACAATATAAACACCATCAGATAGAGCACGAGTCAACAGTTCTTCATCTTAATTTGGGACTCCGATGGTACACGTGATCATAGAAAACTGGATTGGTTCTTATAACGTACAGTAACCTTTTAATTATCATATCATTATAGTTTTTAACTATATAATATTCTTGTTTATAATTAATAGAAATATTATTATCTTTATCTTCATTACCAGTTTTTATATTTTCGTCAATTTCACTAATATCATTATTTTTGTTATTATGTTATTATTATTTGTTACACAAACACTTTCCTCCATAGAAAATAAATAATTATTTATTTTAGAAATTCAAATTCAATTTTTTAAATTATGCAAGAAAAAAATCGGAGTTTAAAATATGTACGGTAAACTATAATTCAACCCTTTTGTTCCTCTCTCTTCTCATTGGCTATAGACTGATCTGCCAAAAAGTGACACGACATTAATACAATAAGAAAATTAATAAACACTAAAAAATTGAGTGCTCATTCCCCCACCGGGAATCGAACCCGGGCCACCTGTGTGAAAGACAGGGATCCTGACCACTGGACCATAGAGGAGAGACATCTGTCGAGCATTGCGCGCGGCGAAAACCACCTCTTTTTATACTTTTCTTCACTCTGCACCCCCAAAAACTCGTCCTTTTTTCCGATCACCCCCCAAAAATTACGACCTCGAACTCGCCTCGCGTAACACCCGAGGCAACCGCCAATATTCCCACCTCACCACGTACAACAGCCATGCCTGCATCACCTACAGCACCAGAATCGGCCATACGCCTCACATTAGCTTTGCCTATTAGAGCAAAACAGCGTGCTTCACAGCGGGCAACCCATATCCCCTCCCCTATCAAGAAGACCCCTTCCCCCATAGAAGGAAATTCACAGCAAAAACGGCAAAAACACCGCACCACCCCTTCACCTACTACAACAGAAATTGCCACCCCCAACACCATCCATTCCGCAGATATGTTTATCAACGGCCAAGAGGTATCACCATACCCCCAGTCCGAACGCACCTGCAGCAACAGCCCCCTCACCGAACGCGGCACCGCCGCCCTTCAGCAACAACAGCAACAGCAAACCAACAACAACAACAACAACCAGCAAGAGCAAGAGCTCTTGTATAGCTCTCTGCATACATCACTCCCAGATACACAGGAGCAGGAGGATGCAGCATTGGTAACAACAACAACAACTACAACAGCAATCCCTCCCTGGTTCCTCGTGTTCCAGTAGAAAATTGCAGCCCACGATGAGCAATTAGAGCAAATGGCCGCTCTAATTAAAGAAAACAAGCAACTCCGGTCAGAATTAGCACTCGCTTATCAGCGTATTGCCGAGCTCGAGGGAGAACATCCCCCTATGCCACCAGCAGCAACAATGACCGTTATGGATAGCACCCCTGAGTACGAAGATGATGAATGTCTTACAGGCACTATTGAGTCTGTACACGCGGGTACACCAGAATCTCGAGCTGTGTACCAGCAGCAAAAGCGTGCCCGTGAAGCACACTAAGAGCAAGATTGGGAGAAGCGTCTCACACGCCAGCTCAAGCTGATGGATCGCATGGACCAGCAGCAACAGCAAAAGCAACAAAAACAACAAAAGCAACAACAACCTGCACCTAACAACAACAGCAGCAAAAAGACGTATGCAGCAGCAGCCAGCAAAAACGTTAGCAGCAACAACAACAAGCAAAAGACCCGTCGTGTTGTGAAAACACTAACAGCAGCAATGGTGGCATGGGCCAGTCGTGGATTTGCCCCAATAGATCCTACTGCCGCACAAGGGTATACATTTGTGTACCTCAACAGCCCCCACCGCATGCGCCATAGTGAAGTACATAAACGCCTTGCTATCCTCAAGGTGCCACAGGCCCGCATTCTTGACGTCCACTTCCCTACTACTGGTATTGTAGGCCTATTGATCCATCAATCGTTCAAGAATGAGCTTGAGCAGCTACTGGTGCCAGGTAGCATCAAATTTGTCGACTTTGATCCATTGTCACCTACTGTCATTAAGGATCAAAATCTCGAAACCATGACAGCAACGGAAAAGACAACAAAGGCAATCGATATCCATCAGAGACGCATTTACCACACATGCCTTCAAATGCCGCACACCTATCTTGGTAACGCAATCATGCGTTATTTCTGTGCCGACAGCTATGACGGGCCCCATAAGCTACCTACGGAAATGCTGATTGAGTTCCAGAAGCTGCGCCCAGCACCACAATTCCGTCGTCGTAGGGAATTGACACCAGTAGAAGCAGCGTCAGCATTCCTAGCACCAGCAACAAGCAACAAGGACGACGACGGCCGCAAGAACAACAGCGCCAAAAGCAGCAACAACAACATGGGAGAGGGAGAGGATGTTGACATGGGCAACATCTCTGCCAATAACTCTACCACCACCACCACCTCAAAAAACATCGAAGCCGCAGCAAAAGACAATAATTAATGAGTGACACCATCAAGATCGCTCAACTTAATGCAAATGGTATCGAAAGATCGCCAGATGTGTTAATTAATTATTGTATTGAAAATAACATTGATATTTTATTGCTAACGGAAACTAAACTACTCGCTGGACGACTTACAACACCATGGACGCAATTTCATAATTATGCGTGGACTTCAGGCAACGCACGAGTCGGCTTTGGCGGGCTAACGCTGCTTGTGCGCCCTGATTTTCCTTACCATGTTCACCCTCACGACCATCCGAATCGCTACACCATCACCTGTACGATCGGACCCTACACCATCCACTGTCTCTACTTACCTCCTTCTCTCTCCTTTCCCGACTACACCGCCACCATCCAACGCCTCACCATAGACAACAGCACCATAATCCTCGGCGACATCAACACTCGTCTTGGTGCACAGCTCGGCGATAACGACAGCACTTATCCTCGAGCAGGATTCCTGCAGCAATGGCTTGTTGACCATGGCATTGTTGTATAGAACGAAACACTCGCGTTCGGCAAACACACCTTCCACAAACCGAACGTTGGATCCAGCATCATCGACTTCTTCATCTCCTCACCTACTGCAGTGATATCACCTTCGCTCGTAGTAAGAGATGATTTGACGTTTGGATCCGATCATCACCTCTGCCAATTCGACTTCTTCCTCCACACACCAATTGACCGGTTGCCAGCTCCCAACGCGCCGCGCCAACATTGGAAGCTACAGCGTTTGCATGAAGAAGATGTCCAGACGGTCTACATTGATGAGTTTACTCGCAATGTCGCACCGATTAGTGACGAGATACAGCAGTGTCTTGATCGCAATGAGCTGGACTTGGCGGCTATCGAACAGCTTGGCCAGCGTATCACTCAAGCCGTATACGAAGCGCTAGATGCAAGTGTCACTAGAGGGCAAGCCCGACCGAAGCAGTGGAAGTGGTTCTGGACCGCAGAGCTACAGAAGCTTGCTGACGAACGGCAGCAACGTTACAGTCGCTGGCGACATGCACCTGCCACCCTTGCACGAGTCACCCTGTGGAAGGAGTTCACCGATGCCCGAGACGAGCTGCGTATCGCCATCCGCCGTGCTCGCACTCGCCAATGGCGTGAATTCTGTACCAAGATGCAACACAACGACCCATCCGAGGCCAACAGCGTCATCAAGAGCATGAGACGAAACTGCCAGAAAGGTGCCACGTTCTCGCATCCTCAAGGTCCCGCCCATGCTGCCGAAACAATGATCACTCATCTAGCTAGTGTCTTTGGCGGTGAGGTCTCTGACCCGCTGCAACAGTGCTACGATCAGCTGGATGATGTTGGTGACGATCCGTTCTCACTAGAGCGTATTGTCATGGTGATCCACAAGGAGCTGCTAGGTCTTAAAGCACCTGGATCAGATCATATTCATGGTGAGATGCTAAAGCCGATTGCTCGTCCACTCACATCAGTGCTCTCCCCTTTTCTTCGTCTTTGTTGGTGCTGGTCGTATTTGCCTGCTGCTTGGCGCACTGCACAGGTAGTACCGATCCACAAGAAAGGCAATCCATCCCTTGCGTCCAATTATCGGCCGATCAGTCTAACAAGCACGTTTCGTAAGATCGTCGAGCGGTGCTTGTTGCCAGTGCTGCTACAACAGATGCCTGCACTCGATGTAGCCCAAGGTGGGTTTCGGGCTCGTCGCGGTGCTCTCGACCAGGCGTTCAATTTACAAGTGTTGATGCGCCAATTCCAACGCCAACACGATCAGCCACCCGTTGTCGCGTTCCTAGATATCAAAGCGGCGTACGATTCTGTCGACCGTAACGTTATTTGGGGAGCGCTCACTGACCATCTGCAGCCAGCATTGCTTGAGTTGCTCAGGCATATGTTCAACGAGGTGTCGATCAGCGTCATCCTCAGCAACTACCAATCGCGTGCCATCCGTCCTCGTCGCGGTGTACTACAAGGCTCGATCCTTAGCCCGATCTTGTATGCCGTGTTCATCGACTCGCTGCCCAAGGTGCTACGACTTGGCAGCCGCCAACCACTGCTCATCCGCACTGTACCACTTGCTGATTACACTGAAGCATCTGCTCAGTTGCTGGAACGCCGCACCCTACGTGATCGTCGTCGCCAAGACACGGATATCTCCGTCATTAACTCGCTGCTGTATGCTGACGACGTGGCTATTTTCGGTTCTTCCGATGATGTACGCCAGCTGCTTACTATGGCACAGTTGCACTCGGAACGGTATGGGTATCGATAGAGCCCTACCAAATGCCAGATCGTTAATGGCCAGCCTGGTGTCCAATATCGACTCTACGGTGAAGCCATTGAACAAGTGCCCTGGTTCAAGTACCTTGGTATCCCGTTTACGGCAGAGGGCATCGACACCAACCGTTTGATCCAGACAAACGCTACCAAAACCATTAGCGCCATAGTTTTGCTTTGCAATATCGGCGCTCATCAATACAACTTTGGCCTCGGTCTCGCCCTGCGCCTGTATCGCAGCTTTGTTCGTCCTGTGCTGGAGTACGGCCTAGCAATCTTCACCCCAACCGCCACACAATATACCGCCCTCGAAAAGGTGCAGATTCGTTGCATTCGGTTAGCATTGAACGTTACCGGCCCTGCTGCCACCACACCAACAATCGTCCCCCTCCACCTTGCTGACTTGCCGTCAATCAAACTTCGAGTGCGTATCTTGCTGTTCAAGTTTTTGTGTCGTGCGTTCCGTTTGCCACCGTCAACCTTGCTCGCATGTGTCGTTTCTTCATTTCTTCGTCGCCATCACCCACCCGACTATTGGCGCGTCATGACAACAAATAAGCTATGGGTAGACGAAAAAGAAGTAACTCGCCAAGCACCACTGCCACGCGACCCCATGCAGCACGTAATCGACAGTCACCACCAACAAGAATTGCAAAGCCGCCGCAACCGGTTCTCCACTGTGCGACGTGCTTTGCCGGAACGGAGATAGGATCCGATCCTGTTTCTGCCCGCCACCAATTTGGCTCGCCACCGCCTTGTCAAATGGCGCATGCATTGGCTGCCATCATATCCGTTAAAGGATTGCCGCTGCAGCAAAGTGGGAGCCAACCGACGCCACTAC